CTTACGAAATACCTACCAAAATGCATTCCATACATTTATACAATAATTACCAAAAGAACAGTGACCTTTTTCTTTTTTTATCTTTGGTAAAATTCGCCCTCTCCTTTCGGATACGGTCCTGGCAAGCCCTGATGGTTAAGACGCTCGACACGCAATCTGCGAAACGCAGGTTCGAATCCTGTTACCTATTCGTTGGTAAAAGAGTAGTCCAAGAGTTGGCGGTGGGTGGTGTTGACTAACTGCCTTCCCTTTAGTCTATCATTGCTAAATTAGGGACGGCTAGCACAGATAGCCTTCGAGTAGCTTTGTGCAAAATTAAAACGAAAACAAAAACAAACAAATAAACCTCTGGAATACTTATTTTAATGTTATTCTCATCAAGTGTTTTCAACACGTGTTTAAAAACCTGTAAATCCACATGCTTATACGTCAGTAATACCTAATGAAAAACTTTGTACGGGATTTTGTGGGTGCACTAATACATCAACAGTACCTAATGAAAGACTTTGTACGGGATTATGTGGGTGCACTGATACATAAAAGTATCTAATAGAAACGCTTTGAACGGGATTATGTGGGTGCACTGATACATCAACAGTACTAATGTAACACTTTGTACGGGGTTATGTGGGTGCAAGGGTTTTACTTAGTGGTAGAACTGTATATATAACTTTTACAAAGTAACAAAATTGTATACAAGGGTTTTACTGTATAAAACTCTAGTATACTGTTCTGTCACTGTGTAAAGCTCTAGTACACTGTTCTGTCACTGTGTGAAACTCTTCTACTCGGTTATGTCACTGTATAAAACTCTAGTATACTGTTCTGTCACTGTGTAAAGCTCTAGTACACTGTTCTGTCACTGTGTAAAGTTCTACTACACTATTCTGTGACTGTGTGAAACTCTTCTACGCGGTTCTGTCACTTTTGTAAAACTTTATTACACTGTTCTGTCATTGTGTGAAACTTTTCTACACGGTTCTGTTACTTTGTAAAAATCTAGTACACGGTTCTGTTACTGTGTAAATCTGTAGTACACGGTTCTGTCACTGTGTGAAACTCTTCTGAACGGTTCTGTCACTTTTGTAAAACTCTAATACACTGTTCTGTCACTGTGTGACAGAACCGTGTAGAAGAGTTTCACACAATGACAGAACAGTGTACTAAAGTTTTACAAAAGTGACAGAACCGCGTAGAAGAGTTTCACACAGTCACAGAATAGTGTAGTAGAGCTTTACACAGTGACACAAGTGTACTAGAGTTTTACACATTGAAAAATCGTGTAGAAGAGTTTCACACAGTGACAGAACAGTGTACTAGAGTTTTACAAAGTGACAAAACAATGTACTAGAGTTTTACACAGTGGCAGAACCAAGTAGAAGAGTTTCACACAGTAACAGAACAGTATACTTACAGTTTTACACAGTAGCAGAACCGTGACCCCTGGTTTTTGTTCACTTCTCCCAGCTGTTATGAAGTACTGTAAACTATTGTAATGTTTCTACTATAAATACTTCACGAGCGCTTTTTCGAATATTTCTGGGATTCTATTCATTACAAAAGTTTTGTGTTGACAGGTACTAAGTGGCTTAAAATCAAGTTTAGGTTTATTCGTTTTTAAGCGAAAGCTACGCAATTGGATACATGCGCTGTGCTGATCACAAGAATCAAACCCCAAATTCTAGTATCACTTATAAGCCCACAAGCTTACCGCTGAACCACTGAAGGGCATAAAATTTAGGACAAAGTATTTTAATGCATGTAGCTGCTTACTGTAAAAGAGATCGTCCTTGTCATGAGAAGAAAAAAAAAACTCCCCGTGTATTGCTGTGAGGCTTATCTGAGATTTGATTACTAAACACAATATAAAATTATGCATCCGGTTTACAACCGCAGTCATGATGTGAACTCATGTTTAAATGTAAACTTACTCATGTGTTTGTCCATTTAGATATTTATGTCTCATGTTAGTGTTTTTTTTGTTATATTTTTTCTATTTCAATGAGTATATGATATATAAGTGTGGTATGCGTGTTAGTTTTGTAATATCTTTTGTGGACATTACGATCAGTCTGATTTTCCATAAAACGTAAATCGCTAAAATTAAGAAAACTCTTACTTAACGAAAATACACGCTAAACAGATTTCGATAAATTCAAATAAGATAATCATCTCCAAATGTAACTGTTAAGTAACTTATACGAAGATACTGTTTTAACGGTTTCTATCGTTGAGCGGGGTCTTCAGTAAGTATAAAGTCCAACTCACTTAACGAAAGTGAAATCGTTTTATTTCTTCTACAACAAGTTCTACAAAATCACCAAGCGATAAGCCTAACTCACAAGTAAAACTAAATAGTCACTTAATTATTGTAGTTCAAACTCAAAACTGGCTGACTAACTCACTCGTTAAATCGATATTATTACAATACCCCCCCCCCAAAAAAAATGTAGGAAACTCTATTCGTATCTTGCACATACTTCAAATCTAGAAATTCGGGAATTTCTTGGCGTTACACGTCATCACTACGTCATGTCAAAATTCCATCTAACAAGCTCTACAGGGAGAGAGGAGCTGCAAGTGTGAAGTACCAACCTAATAAACTGGTGACCCACACCTCGATGTCGCCAAATATGTTAGGTAATAACTTCATAAAGCTATAATTCACACCTCCATGTCGCCAAGTGTGTTAGGTAATAACTTAATAAAGTTATAATCCACACCTCCATGTCGCACAGTGTGTTAGATAATAACTTAATAAAGTTATGATCCACACCTCCATACCTTCAAGTGTTAGGTAATAACTTAATAAAGTTATGATCCATACCTTCAAGTGTTAGGTAATAACTTAATAAAGTTATGATCCATACCTTCAAGTGTTAGGCTGTAATACATACCATACTTGATTATGAAATTTGAACCCCTGTGGCTCAGAGGTGAGTCTGAGGACCTATAACGCTAAAAATCGAGTTTCGATACTCGCGGTTGACACAATACAGATAACTCATTGTGTTGCTTATGCTTAACAGCAAAAATATAGAATTATGACTATCGAGTGACATTTATTGTTAAAAAGCTTCTATCCTCATGAATTATCTCGATTTTTGGAATGATATTAAGCACAAAGCTATACAAAGGATTATCTGTGCTCTGCCCACCACGGGTATCGAAACCCGGTTTCTAGTAGTATAAGTCCGCAGACATACCATTGTGCCACTACAAACTAACCTGACGAAAGGTTGAAATCTTCATATGTTTCTCCCAAATTTTCCCATTTTTAGATATGCCATGGACCGTTCATATGGCAAATTTGTGACACTAGCTTTGACACTCAAGTTACCATCACTTGTTATTTATACCGCTTTCATACTGATTTTTTACAACACTAAGCGTAAAGAATTGGACAAAATATTCGGGTGAAATCTCTTCTTTTCTGACAAATACAAAGCAAAAAAGGATCCAGCAGGAAACCTACAGCATTAATTCCAGGGTTATTGTTTGACGGTTGTCATGAGGAGTCTGGACGACAAACAAACAGATGGCAATAAACACATTACCAATACAATTGGCTGTAAACAAATGCAAATCGTATATTAAACTGTACACGTCGTAAAAACTTGTTCTTTATGTTCCTAAAAAAACAAAAACAAAAAAAACCCGGACTTCCAAAGTATAGAAGAGTGAGACGACCTTGGCAACGTGGAAAAATATTAAAGTACAATAATCTATGATATATTATAGCAATTAAAAATATACGGGGTGCTGAAACAAGTCTAGTGAACCGTACTTGGTAGTTTGGTTATTGGATTTGACAAAAACAAGACGAGGATATAACCTTGAAAACTGCACGATCGTTCTAATTACTTCATCTATTTGTAAACAATCTAGCCTTGACAAACTTATTACGCAACCAGGAAAAGAAATCAGTAATATGTTATCCTCCCCTCAGACAACAGCAAGTGCGAAAAGCTCGCGATTGGTCCATTTGTTTATGTATCTATCCTACCAACAAACTAGTAGGATCGTGGCAGTTAGTTTGTCCTGTATTTATCACGAGTTACAGGCAGTTAGTTTGTCCTGTATTTATTTACCACGAGTTACAGCAGTATTGAATATTCCTAATAATTCTAGTGGATTACTTCACAGGCCCTTAATTTCGCAATTCCGTCTTACCAAAGGCGCTTATTATTATTATTATTATTATTATACTTATCTTATCTAACCTTAATAAGTGAATAAATAAATAAAAAGTATTTGGGATTGGTGGTAATTTGAATTTGGATTGTACGTTTTTTATCACTGTGCCCAACTTCAATATATTTTATTATAAACCTTTACAACTAAATAAGTACATGGTAATTTGCATAGCTTATGTTCCCAGAGGGCCTAATAAGGTGTCATAAGACCTAATAATAAATTCTTATTTTTCCGCAATTGTTTGTAAATTCACAGTGGTAATTAACAAAAACAGAAGTAGCTCAATTTGTGTTTCCCTTATGGCTAGCGCCCTCTCGTGTTTAACATTTTAACTTTAATCCACTTACTTCATCGACATATAAAAATTATGTGTGCGAACATTTGAAGAGTGTTAAGGACTCATTAGCTGTGCTTTTGTTTCTGGTACCACCTGTAAGTGTAGTATATCCAGGTGAGACTGAAGTGACGTCAGAGTTAGGTCTGTTAGATAATAGTAGATTCGCTTAAAATTGCGATTACCGAGTAATACTCGTTCTCTTATTAACTGAGTCGAGTGAAATAACGAGACAAAGAGTAAAACGAAATGCTCTGTTCGAACACTAAACACAAACATAGTGTGTGTGTACTTGCTTGAATATTAACCACATTAGACTGAATACTTTCTTTTGTTTAACTTTTTCTCTTATCCTGACTAGATCAACTCAAGAGATATTCCAGACAAAAAACCGACTAAATGTAACGTTGCTTTAACCTAGGATGACTAGCGCTACTCACGTTACTGTTCATTCTCCTTACAATATAGGGCCCCTCAGTGGCACAGCGGAATGTCTGCGGACTTACAATGCTAGAAACCGGGTTTCAATACCCGTGGTGAAAAAAACACAGCTAGCACATTGTGTAGCGTTGTACTTGGTTATGAACACACAAACAATATAGGTGGGGTCGTGACCTCTAGATCTCACCTGAATAACTGTTGATTTGGTTTGAATTTCGCGCAAATCTACACAAGGGATATCTGCACTAGCTAGTCATCATCACCCACCGCCAACTCTTAGGCTACTCTTTTACCAACGATTGGTGGGATTTGCCGTCACAATATAACGCTATCACGGCTGAAAAGGCGAGCACGTTTGGTGGGGTGGGGATCGAACCCACAGGCTGCGAGTCGAGCGCCTTAACCACCTGGCCATGCCAAGCTCTAGCTGTTGAAGGAAACTTCTGTTGATATTTTTCACAACATTGTCGGATTGAGAAATATCCTCTCCGGGCGATAACGTTCTGAGAATAACAAAGGAACAAAAGTAGCTTAGAACGTAACCAACTTAACCACTTTCTCAACAACATGTTATGTGAAAACCTGCACACATACAGAACAGGGAATTAAATCCAATATAAATATCACAATTATTACAAGAAGATAAAACAGCATTGTAATGTGTACAGTATCCAGAGAGGTGATGCAATGTGATAAAATCGAACGTTTATGTTCTGAAAGATGCAAGAAATAATTGGAAAAACAAACATTATTTTAAATCTTAGTTAGTTTAATGTAAAATAGATAGATATAGTTTTAGTAAATTAGGTGCGAAAGTTAAAAAGTGTTTAATTAACTGCTACCCATTTATATTGGTCTAGTATTTTAATAAGAATATATATTTTGGCGCCTCTAGCGACGAGTTGAGATAATTTATAGTGTTTTGAGTATCACAGTTACGTTTAGCTCAGTGTTGAAATTATACAAATTTTGATAAGCTTTGATACACACAGCTTAACAGGGAGGTATGAAGGGGAAGGGGGCGATGCACAGAGCGAAAATCTCCAGGCGATTTTATTTAGTACTGATTGTACATAATTTTTTCTATATAATTCGAGAAAGTCTATGACTTTCGTACATAAATCCATAAATTTATACAACCATGTGTATAACAAATAACGGAACTTTACGAACAAATATGAAAGCTATTATCTCCACTTGGGAATAATACAGCCTCATAGAGATCTATATTTGTAGATAATTTGTTATTTCGATGTTGTTCCCTTTAAAATAATTTGAACTTTACAACATAAAATTTGTATTTAAATATTAACTCCCGTAATCCTAAGGTAACCAATCAATATTAATCTATAAAGTAGCGGGCAATTATTTTACCAAATTATAGTTGCGCCATTATACCTATGGGTGTGATTATAATTAATATTGCAAAATGGGCTTAAAAAAAAAGAGGAATTTCGATTTTCAAACCGATGTTTGAATGAACACAAAATACTTGGACGCTCCAAGTATACTTATTGAAATAAAAATATGCATTTTGTCTTGCGGAAGAATTTACATGCACGAGTTTTTCTTGCTATTTTTACTGTTTTGTAAGGCCCCCTAGTGACAGAGCGGCATATCTGCGGACTTATACTGTCAGAAACCGGCAGATAGGCCATTGTGTAGCTTTGTGTTTAATAACAAACAATAACTATTTTGCAGGTTTTATTTTTCTAGTCTGTTAACTTTTGATATACGTAATAGAAATACGTGTAGACGAAGGATATTTCATTTTTGATTATTTCCTTTTCGAGAGTTTAGAGAGAGAAGTCCGCTGATTTATCCAATAATTTATTTATTTATAAGTTTAACATAACAGCAAATGAACCTGATGATGACAAAACCTTGTCTAAACGTTGTACATTTGCTGTTATGTTAAACTTATATTAAAGTTTTTCTTCATTACCCATTCAAGCCGTCTCCAAGCTTATTAGTCTCAAAGTGGGTTCCTCGTCATCGAATTTATTTACTTATTGCGTGTATATATGTATCTGTATATGATTTTCTAGTTATTTCTATGCCTGCCTAGATCTGGAATGATGTTCTTATATAACAATATCTATTTAAATTTGGCATGATGTTTCTACACAACAATGTCTATCTAAATCTGGGATGATGTTCCTATTTAACTAAAATTGGGGATATAATTATGCGTTTCTATACCTATATTAAACGAGGACTGGTTTTCTATCTAAATAAAGGTTAGTATCCTTCTTAGAAAATGTACAGCCTTTGGTTGTTGATGTGCCATTGCAATTGCGAGTGGCTACTTCCCACATGTCGTTTTTTCATTTGTGGTGTGCCCCCAGTATGTCTGCGGACTTATACTGTTAGAAACCGGGTTTCGATACTCGTGGTGGGCAGAGCACAGATAGCCCTTTGTGTAGCTTTGTGTTTAAGAACAAACAACACTCATTTGTGGAGATTTTCCCTTTTGGTCAGATCATCCAAGAGTTAACTACGATAAGGCAGGGCGTTGCGATACTTCCTAGTGTGCTCCCACTATGAATCAGGTAGCTCAGACTTATTAACCCAAAAATATGCCCCCCACTTTGAGATGGTGGATGCGTTGTAAAAGTAACGGTCAAATCCCACAATTCGATCATAGAAGAATAGCCCAAGAGTTGGCGGCGGGAGTTGTTTATTATCCTCTAAGTTATGACAAGACTTTAGTATTGAATGTGATCGATTTCACAACCAACAACGTGTTTATACTTCTTTTGTTTGTTGTTTTGAATTTCGCGCAAAGCTACACGAGGGCTATCTGCGCCAGCCGTCCCTAATTTAGTAGTGTAAGACTAGATGGAAGGCAGCTAGTCATCACCACCCACTGCCAACTCTTGGGCTACTATTTTACCAACGAATAGTGGGATTGACCGTCACATTATAACGCCCCCACAACTGAAAGGGCGAGCATGTTTGGTGTGAAGGGGATTCGAACCCGCGACCCTCAGATTGCGAGTCGAGCGCCCTAACCACCTGGCCATGCCGGGCCTATACTTCTTTTAACACATACAATATCGTCCCCACACTTTAGCAAAATTCGAAGTGTAACAAATCATGAAAGATATCATAACGAAATCATATGAATAAGGAGGGCGACTCTTTAATTTTTTATATTAATTTGGTATTATATTTCGTAAATATTACAACGGTTTGATTTATTTTAAGTAAATTAAATCGTAAGGTAACAGCTTCATTATTTCGACAAATTTAAGAAATGCAGATAAATATTTTCACGCATATACTTTTGTATATGAGTATACTTTGTAAAATATATTTGCAGATTTTTACATATATAGAGTAAGTTATAACACTAGCCCCCAGTGGCTCAGCGGTATATATGTGGACTTATAACACTAAAAATAGAGTTTCGATACACGTGGTGGGTACAGCACAGATAGCCCATTGTGTAGCTTTATGCTTACCTACAAACAAACAATATTTCTCTAAACTACGTCATAAGATGTAATAATGACGCTTCCAATGCGCGAAGCGCGTTTCCGTGGGAACGGTATGCGAAGTTCGAATCCGATTCACAATCCGAGTACGTTAGATACCAGGCCACGCCTGGTCCACTTCCAAAGAACAGAAGTTACACATAGTTCTAATTTTTGTAATGTTTTTGTTTGTTTGAAGTTAAGCTCAAAGCTACACAATGGGCTATCTGTGCTCTGCGAACCACGGGTATCGAAACCCGGATTCTAGTTTGTGTAATGTGTGACATTTGTTTCAACTATAAATCAAAGTGTTAACGATTCGCTCCCAAAACGCACTATGGGGCCATGGGTGAGCTAAAAGAGTGGTAGTTAAATTCCAAAGAGGTTTGTGGTGGTTGCTGTTGACTACCTGTCTTCCGTCTAGTCTATCTGTTTGAAACAAGGAAGGGTTCTAAAAACCAAACCACGTTTCAAATAAATCTAAGCTAAACTAGCAGCGTAAATATTCAAATGTATCTGAAGCTCCCAAGGTTAAACTTTTCAGAAAATAACCAAAAGTGTTTGTACTGGTAAATATACACATACCTACATACGGATATATGTGTGTGTGTGTAAAAACGTATAGATCACAAAATTACTAACATTTTAGAAACGAAAAAAATACTGTTTGATAATCAATGATGTGAAAAATGTAAACGTAGACCCAAATAAATGTTATTCCTTTTTCAGTTGAAGACACAAATAACAAATAAAGTACTATTTTTAAACTGTTATTCTTCATGCTAGATTTTCTTGTTCAAAGCAAGGTCACTAACCCCAACCTACTTATCTATCTCTTTTTTTTCTATTAATCTTCTGTTTCTTTGGGAACTAGATGATAAGCAGTTTTTTGTCAGCGTATATTTCCATACTACAAAGATGTTAACTTAGTGTACACTAACCAGTCTTGCCGCTGCCTGGTTTACCGTGTAACATATCTAACTGAAACCAATGTTTACAGAAGTTCCTGCGGACTGTAATCCTTTCAAAAGGGATCTTTGTTGTGTTTGGCTTGAAGTACCGTTGGGGTTATACAAATTTTCAATAGCGAAGAGTAAATAAACAGTATAATCTCACAAAATAGAGATCTTAACTTTTATTTTTATCTTACCTTTTACATTTTGCTTGCTTCAGAGTAAATAAGATATTAAACGTGTAGAGTTTGATATGCATAATTAATACTATACATACCCTGTATATCATAGTATCAGTTGCCACTTGGAATCTGGAGTTATGGAGTTCATGGAACATCGTGTCAATGTTTGAAGTGTACCGAAAGATCACATTTACTAGGGGATAATGAAAGTAATATGAAACCGTAAAAGTATGTTCACAAACTATTTATAAAGATAAATGATAGTAATACTTCGAGAATTAATTTAAAGAAAAAAATATATATATGGCTATCATGGCCACGCTATGCTTATATACCCTAACAATGTAACAGCAAGAAACTTCAGTATGACTGGCTGTGATTTTCTCCTTCAATAGATGCCTCTATGTACCAAAATACGCAAAAAATACTCTGCTATAAAAAATAGAAAAAGAAAATACAGCGACTGTATTTTCACTTACAAATGTTATTAAATATATCGCAAAACACTTACGTGTAGACAAGATCATCTTATTCAAATTCACATAAATATTA